GGTTTTAGAGCACGTGACGGTGAGAAATGAGGGGAGGTCCTGACTCCACCCCTCGGAGGGATCTGTCCTATAAACCAGGTGAGAGTCATACCTTGTGTGGGGGCCGTTTCAAGTCGTCATACCCTGAGAGTAAACACTTACGACAACAGCCAGCCCCCCGACTCCACCACACTCATTCAGTGTGGCTGGTCAAGATCCTCACAGTAAAGAAAGAGAAAAGCAGGGGAGGGGGGCTCTAATCAACAGAGGGGCTCCCTTCTGCCTTTGGAGAAGTGGACTAACCCTGAGGCCTGGCAGGGTCAGCACCGCCCCCACCCCCCCACCGGAGGGCTCCGGGAAGGACTTGGCTAGAGTTCCAGCCTTCATGAAACAGTGTGTTCATAACTGATAAGCTTAAAAGCAAGTGACAATTTTTCAACCCACCCTTGCTCCAAGGGCAGTGAATAAACACAGCATCGGCTCCAGGTTCCCACTGAGTGTGTCTAGAAGGGGAGGAGAAGGTGAAACCAAGCTTACTCATCCCTAGAAATCAGAGTGGATTCTCTGACACCTTCTTCTTCGGGGCTGAACTAGGACGCCCCACTTAGAAATCCCAACTCAGGAAATCGTAAATATGCTCTTCCCTTTATTCTGGGTGTCCAGGCTACCCAGGTACCCCACATACAAGGCAATGGACCTGACTCCACATTAATTACAAGCGGACTGTGGGGACGCAAGAAGGAGCCTGCTGGGGTGCAGGGAAGTTCGGCGACCTCACGTGGGTGGTATCTCTACAGGTGAATACATACGTGGAAATTAACTGAGCCGTGCCCTGAGATCTGTACACTCACTGTATGTGTGTTACCCTTGCATGCATTCACAGTAACAGCCGTGGCAGTGCGTGTTAGGCACCTCTCCGAAGCCAGGCACTGCGGTAGTGCTCATCCCGGGTTCCAAATAACACAGCAGTGAAGACCACCGCCTCTGGACCTCAACAGACCAGGGTTAAAATCCCTGTTCCTCCACCTCTGATTCTGGCCCCAGCATGCTCCTCAAACTCTGAGCCTCTGTCCCTCTACCGGAAAATAAAGAGAATAACTCGTACAATTAAGACAGGTAGGTAAGCCTAGCCTACAGTAAGCCTCAAAAGATGTTGGCTTGCTACAACCATTCAACCTTCAACCACCCCAGGACCCTGGTGTTTTGGGCCCACTTGAACATTTGAGAAATGTGCCCGCTTCCTTCCAACAGCGCTCCCCAAACGGCAGTCATTTCCACAGCATCTTCTCAATTTTCTCCCAGATCCATGTACCACCTGACTGTTACTTTTCTTAACACTTTTCTTCAAATTGATCGCAATTTTTTACTTAAACAAATTTACTTTTTAAAAATGTTATGTAACCATCATACATGGAAAACCAGTATCACTTGCCAGAACTCACTTTTTTTAAAAATAGCAATTAAAATAAAAAGCATTTGTCCACCTGAGATCATCTTGCCTACCTCATTTACTTTTTATGGATTCAAGAGGGAAGGAAACTCAGTTTGTGGGGCGGACGTGGGGTAGGGAGGGCAAGAGGGCCTCATCTGCTTAAAACGACTGAGACATTTCCTGAGCCCTTCAGCAGCCCCCGTCTGCACAGAAGTGATTTTCGTTGGTGTAACCAAACGGGCTTGGCAGGCCCTGTATTTGGCAACATCCTGGTAACCAGCCATCTGTGTACCACACGGGCTCCAAAGAGATAAAGCTGCATTTAGAAAAAATATATATTCACTAATGGCGGGTGTTCACTAATTCAGACACCCACTGGCCCCTCTCTGGCATGAATGAAGGGAGCCCTCCTCTGCCTACCACACAGCAGCTCCAGCACCCGAGATCTAGGAACTCAGTGTCAGGACAGGCCCGGGGCCCGGCCCCAGCTTCAGGACTGAGCCTGGACCCTCACATCTGTGGGTCCCCAAACCACACAGGGGCAGGAAAAGAGAAGAGTAATAACAACACTCCTCCTGTGCACATAATCTGTTACATTTATGTTCAAACGCTCTTCCCAAGGGAAATGAAGGAGAGGGAAGAGGACATTCCCCAATCTCAGCCAAGAGAAGGCATCTTGAAATCTGTGTCAAAGGGCACACTGCAAGCCTACGAGGACCCCGGGGAATAGGCAATGGGCATATTTCTTCTGGGGAGTCAGTGAATCTCGTAAGCACCCATTCATTCATTCAGCAAATACTTACTAAGCACCTCCTATTGGGGCAATGGGGGCCCCGGGGCGAAAAAGGCAAAGTCCCTGCTGTTAGAGAGCTCATATTCTAGGAGTGGGAATAGTCAATAAATTGTTTATTACATAATATCAGTTAATGATAAGTGCCATGGAGGCAATAAGTCAGAGTAAAGCAATAATGGCTGGAGTAAGCTGCTTAGATTGGATGGTCAGGGGAGTCCTTTTAGAAGAGATGACATTTGGGGCACCTGGGTGGCTCAGTCAGTTGAGCATCCAACTTTGGCTCAGATCATGATCTCACAGTTCGTGAGTTCAAGCCCCACATTGGGCTCGCTGCTGACAGCACAGAGCCCACTTTGGATCCTCTGTCCCCCTCTTTCTGCCCCTCCCCCACTTGTGCTCTCCCAAAAATAAATATAAAAAAAAGAGAGATGACATTTGAGCTGACACCCAACAATGAGGAAGCACCACTCAATTAAGTCACCATAAACAGCATGTGTAAAGGGCCTGGGGTAGGAACAAGCATGGCATGTTCCAGAAACAGAAAGGCCTTTGCAGCAGAAATACAGTGACCGCCGTGAGTGAGAGGGAAACTGGTAGTGAGATCAGAGAACCAGGCAGGGGATGCAGGCCCAGCTTCAGAGTTTGGACTTCATTTAAATTATAATGAGAAGCCTATGGACAGATTTCTACTTTGGAGAGACTTGATTTTACTTGAAGTTTTAACTCCACTCTGGCCACCATAAGAATGGATAAGGAGGACAAGAAGCAGGGACACCAAATGGGAGATTAAAACAGTGGCTCCAAAGGAATTAAAAACCTTGGGACGTCTGGATGGCTCAAACAGTTGAGCATCCAAATTCGACTCAGGTCATGATCTCACCGTTCCTGAGTTTGAGCCCCATGTTGGGCTTTGCACTGACAGCCTGTTTCAGATTCTCTGTCTCCCTCTCTCTGCCCCTCCCACACTTGCTCTCTCTCTCAAAATTAAACATTAAAAAAAAAAAAAAAAAAAAAAAAAAAAAAAAAAAAAACCTCATTTCTGCCTCAAATTCTCTCCCTTAACTCTACGAGTCTAACTTCTCACACACTCAGTGAGTCTTAAAATGGGAAGCTGGTAAAGGGAGATGTTTGTTCTTTAAAGCAATAACAGCCAACCAAGTGGCATTCAAACATCAGACAAGAGAGGGCAAGTAACAGGCCCTTCCACAAAGGGCAGGACCCAGCCACCTCCTGAGAAGAGAACAAGCAGCCATCTGTTCTGGGGCCAGGGAGCAGATCGGCTCCCGCCTGTGCCCCTTCCAGCCCTGGGACTTTGGGACTCCAAGGCCAGGACTCCTGCACACTCCACAGGCTCAGACCCCAAATCCAGCCAGCTCGTGGGTCTGTCACACGCTCTCCCATGGCAGACACAGTATCCTCCACACCAGCCTTCAAACTCCAAGGACAAAATCAATTAACAGCTGCCAACATCACTAAAACAGACAATTAGACAAACTCCAAAGCGCGGTCTTGCCCAAAAAACAAACAAACAAATGTGATAGAACCTCTAAAACTCAATATCGACTTACAGTATCATAGGGAACAGCAGAACATGTTAAATGACACCAGGAGATACCACCCACAAAATCCTGACTCCCCAAAATAATTAAGTTTCTCCAATAAAGAAATTATAAAGATGTGGTGCCTGGGTGGCTCAGTTGGTTAAGCGTCCAACTTCAGCTCAGGTCATGATCTCATGGTTCAAGAGTAAGAGCCCCACATCAGGCTCTGCACTGACTGTTTGGAGCCCACTTCAGATCCTCTGTCTCCCTCTCTCTCTGCTTTCTCTTTCTCTCTTTCTCTCTCTCTCTCTCTCTCTCTCTCTCTCTCTCTCTCTCAAAAATAAAAATAAATACATTTTAACCCCCCCCCAGAAAAAGAAATTATAAAGAAAAAAAAGTTGGAAGAGAAAACTTATAAAGTGATATATCACCAATTACACTGGATTTTTTCAATCCTGACTCAAAAAAATTTTGAAAAACTTTTATGAGACAAATAGGGGAATCTGAGCACTAATTCAATATGATACTAAGGAATCACTGTTGGATGGGGCATCTGGGTGGCTCAGTTGGTTAAGCTTCAGCTCAGGTCATGATCTGGCCAGTGCATGGGTTCAAGCCCCACGTAGGGCTCCATGCTGACAGCTCAGAGCCTGGAGCCTGCTTCGGATTCTGTGTCTCCCTCTCTCTCTGCCCCTCCCCACTTGCATGCACGCCCTCTCTCTCTCAAAAATAAACATTAAAAAAAAATTTTTTTTAAGAAATTACTGTTAACTTAGGGAATACAACAATAGTAGTGTTTGTTTTCTTGCAAGAATTTTTAATTTTTTTAATGTTTATTTATTTTTGAGAGAGAGAGAGCATGAGCAGGGGAGAGGCAGAGAGAGAGAGAGGGAGACAAAGAATCTGAAGCAGGCTCCAGGCTCCTAGCTGTCAGCACAGAGACCAACACGGGGTTTGAACTCACAGACCACGAGATCATGACCTGAGCCAAAGTCAGATGCTCAACCGACTGAGCCACCCAGGCACCCCTATTTCCTTACAAGAATTCTTATCTTTAAGATGTATACTGAAATAATTAAGAACGAAATGATACCATGATGGGATTTATTTCAAAATAATCTTGTGGGGAACTGGGGGGGGGGCAAATAAATGAAACAAGATTGGCCATGAGTTCATGATGGCTCAAAATGGGTATCGTATTACTTTTCTCTCTACTTTTGTGTATGCATGAAAATTCCCACAATAAAAAGTTAAAAAAAACAAACAAACAAAAAAAAGCTAGGGATGAACTTCTTGTGCGGAGGCCATGCTAATCTTCTCTGTATCGGTCCAGTCTTAGTATATGTGGTACCAAAGCAAGCTCGGGAAGAACTTTTTCTCTACTAACCTAAGCAGGAATAACCCACTAGACATTACACCCCACAACAGAGGGATCAAATTCATTAGATTCCCTGTTATGCTTCCCAGAGCCTGCCATGAGTGGTCTGCTGAATAATGAGGGAATTCTGTTTTCCTCCTCACAAGCCCCATGGTGGGAGTTGTCTCAAAATAACTACCCCCCCATCAGAAGTAGATGCCTTGGGGCGCCTGGGTGGCGCAGTCGGTTAAGCGTCCGACTTCAGCCAGGTCACGATCTCGCGGTCCGTGAGTTCGAGCCCCGCGTCGGGCTCTGGGCTGATGGCTCGGAGCCTGGAGCCTGTTTCGGATTCTGTGTCTCCCTCTCTCTCTGCCCCTCCCCCATTCATGCTCTGTCTCTCTCTGTCCCAAAAATAAATAAACGTTGAAAAAAAAAATTTAAGAAGTAGATGACTTTTCATTTATGCTAACTGACCTCTCTCCAGTTCAGATTATCACTCCCAAGTCCACACAACTTTATCCATACCATTTGGAACATGTATATTTTGATTCTATTTTTCTACCTTAATCCTTCCCATCAGAGATACCTGTTTTCCCCCTCAGAGGAAAGCATTCCCCCCGCCCATCCACTTCTATGACCAAGGCAGTGCTCTGGACCTTACCCTGATCTGCCACAACCACAAGAAAGCAGGATCTGAAAATCAAAGCACTTTAAAGGTGCTCTCCACTACAGTGATCTCCAAAAACACCATCTGCAAGAAAGGCTTCATTCAGGTGCCTCGTTGGAACCATGCTCAAATCAGTCCCCCTCGAAAACACACCATTGCCTTTGCAGGATCCCAGGGGATGGAGTCCCTGGAAGATGGTCAGAAAGGCAGAACCTCCAGGTTATCCCACAACCCCCATAGAGAGTTGTCAAGTCAAGGTTGATGAACACCACAGCCACTTCTCCAGGAGGCAAACTGAGGCTGGGCTTTCCACTTAGTTCTCGGGACCTACCAAGAGTAACCTGGAGTCTCCTGGTTCTGGGCCCATTTGGGATACCTGTGTCATTACCATCTTCCCTGGTGCACCTGCTGCCCCCAATATGCAATACATTTCCAGGTAGCCTGCAGAGGGCAGGAAGATGGCAAAGACGATGGGGCCATCACTGCAAGGCCACACAGGACCACTCTACCCCTTAAGGCCAACAGCCAGGAGTGTTATCTGCATGAGTCTGTCAATTAAAGGTGCTAGGAAGATCGATGGATGGATGGATCAAGCCTTCTGGGAAGGATGAAGAAGGGGTCTTAGATGACAGCAGAGAGGAATCAGGGACTCAGCAATTAAACACCCAGCCTGGAGTCTGGGGAGCACATAAAAGGTTGGCAGCTGCAGCCTGTTCCAGCGCACCCCCTGTCCACCCCACCCCCACCCCCACCCCCATGGCTGGTGCCCACAGAGCAAGGTTCAATAGCGAGCACTGCACTGATTTCAGATGCTTAAAGACAAAGAAACTCCAGATTACAGCAAGGGGAACAAAGGTCATTTAGCACCAACACGAAATCAATCCCTCTCTCTCCTTGGGTAAGTTAAGTCTGTGGCCAAAGCAATCAGGATGACAGAAGCAACAGCAGAATAGGACGAAGGCAAGGGCTGGGAGGGCCTCAACGTCTGCTGCATTGCAGGGAAGGGCACAGTGCATCCAAGAGCAAGGACAAGATATCATGAGCCTAAGGCATCCTCACCCCTGGCCAGTCCTTCCCTGTGCCTCACTGCACCTGGCTGCCCCCCGCCCCCCCGGGCCCATGCATGGATGGCCTTGACTACTGGTGGGGCTGTCACCACCAGACATCTTACCTTGGTTTCCAGGAGCACAAGCCCAGAGAGAAGCAAATGGGAACGGTTCTGCTCAAAGCCCTTCATCCTCATGGAGCACTTCATACCTTTGAGATGCACCTTCACCCACATTATCTCACTTAAGCCTTTTGCATGGACACAGAAACAGGCTCAGGGAGATTACATCTATACTATCACGTCACAGTCAGTGGATAAGCGGGGACCGTGCAGTCACTTTTCCACCCTACCACATGCTCCATACTCAGAAATGGGAACTGGCCTGATGGTCTGATGCAGCTGCCTGTCTATCAAGCACATCATCCTTCTCATTCCTCCAAACAGACTCCCTTGTCTCAGAACAGCCATCCTGCATCCCTCTGACTTTAGAAGGCTGGCTTATTCATCCCCCCATTACATATAAAATGCTGAAAGACAGGGAATGGAAGAGAACCAAAGTAGGGGGAAATGGGGCCCAGACCTAGAGCACTGGGCTCCAGAGTCCCACTGGTAGCTTTTTCTGCTAGACAGGTTTATCCCAGACACCAGCCATTCCCTACATCGCTTGCAGGATTTCTGCCACATTCTATACCCTTTGTACTATAGCTGTTTCTATTAAACGGACTCGTTCTTATGACTTAACACATTTAATTTAAAGTGATGCCTTATATCACCACCACAAAGAAGAAAATCAGTACCACTGACCATAACTGGGAGCGAAGCCTAAAAATAAATAGCACAGAAACAACCTAAATTGTAGGCAGGCACTGTTCCCCACTTAGAGGCCCAGAGCCAGAGGTCTGCTTTCCCTTTGTTATGAAACAGAGATTAGCAAGTGTTAAAAAGGTGTTAAAGCCAGACTAGCACCAACCTGAAAGTTTCCCCTTAAAGAAATCACACGGATTAGTAGAGAACTGAAAAGGGAAGATCCTTCTCACTAGGTGACTCAATGTTATCTCATGCCTGCCCACCTAAAGTCATCTCACTGGAGAGCTACCTTATCCTGTGGGAAACATCCAATTAGACTGAATCGTAGGAAGGGGGGCAAGAGGGACAGGAGTCAACCACATCACGGGGGCAACCAATGCCAGCTCCTGGGAGTGCTCCAATCCATTGCCCCCCCACCACCACCACCCCAAGGCACACCCGGCTTCTGGGCAAGCCCAAGGGTCACCCGTCACCACCCAGGTGTCTCTGGCTCCACTGCCCTTGTCTCACCCCTTGGCTAACGGCAGAGTACAGCACTAACCCCTCCAAACTCCTCTGCAAATCCAGATCCAGCAGAGCCACGGGAGCCACCCCAAATTCTCACAACACTTCTATGGACAGTCAGTTCTGATGACCCCCAGTTGCTGGGAAGCTTTGGACAGTGGAGGGAGTCTGTGCCAGACTGTGTAAGCACCTCCCTGAGGTCTTGCGGGCATCAAGCCTGCAGCAAGGGACTGGAGCCCAGGAAGCTGACCCAGAAGCTCCTTTGCCCCAAACGCCACCTCTTAACCCATAGGTCATCCAGAATATCTCTGAAATAGCTCGAGAGAACTATTTTCAACATCCAGGAGCAAACAATTAGTAAACTCAAGAAAGGTGAAGAGTCAAAGAGAAAAATCCAAAGAAGGGGGGAGGAGGCTGTCAAGCAACCTCCAAACTTGCTCCTGGCCTGCCGGCACTGTGCGCAAAAGGCAAGCAGATCCTGGCCTGGCGGGCACCTCGTGGGCTCAGCCAAGTTGCAAGAGAACCAAATGGCGCGGTGAGATACTTGGGCTCAGCCAGGGGCTGTCGCCCGGGTCGGATCAGTGCTACTCACTGCAGGCTTCCGGAAGGGCGCCCAATGCCGGGAATGGGGACGAAATACTGGGCGCCCCTCTGTGGATGATGGAGCCCGAGGGGCCCTCCCAGACGCCCTCCGACCCAGCCAATGTCCTGCTTGGGCTTTCCCCCAACAGCCAGTGTCCAGGGCGACGCTCCTGAGTCGCTCCCCCGACGGCGCACGGAGCAGAGGTTTTTCCCAACCAACTCAGGGCCAAAAGCCCTTTTGTAAAAGTCCACCCCAAAGAAAACGGGGATTTAGCATGAGAGTGGAGGAAAGGGAAGGCGGCACTGCCAGGCTTTACCTTTTCTCTTTATTCTGTTTTCTGGATTTGTGCAGGAGTCCGATGAGCACCACGGCGGCGCGGATCCCTGCCTTTCGGCAATGCATCCTCCCCGCAGGCTGGGACATGG